GTATTCAAGATTTTTTATCATTCAGGTTCACGTAAAATGTGACACTTCTCACTAGTTGGTGGCTGTGGTTTTCCCCTTAGATATCTTTATATCAGATCTAAGCCATCCCTCGCCCGGCGTTGCTAAGGGTAAGAGCAAATTCATTTGTGTCATATAAACTGGGAAAAGACTTTTTCACGTTTTTGAGATTGAAGCCTTGTTGAAGAAATCACTGTGATTTTTTTTCTCACAGGTTGCATTCCAATGTCCGTCCGAAAGAAAAAAAATAGCTTCAACTTTATCTTGGGGTTTCTTTCCTTTCGTAGAAACGGTAAGTACCTTTAGGGCTTGGGTTGGTCACATATTTGCACAGGGTCCAGAGGAGTTTCGTGTGAATAAATGAATTACTTACCTTGAAAAATGTCTATACCTGTCGCTTAGCACGATTAATTAGCCCAGTGGGATCTTTATAAATCTACACATTTGCTAAAGAAGCGAACTTATCTGACCCAGATCGACTTTTGAAAATCAATAACCGCAAGCCATATCCTCGCTGGCGCACGGCACGTCGCCCGGAGGGCGACCGAGGCACGAAGTGCCGAGTAAAAGAAAGGACTGTAAGCCGATCTTGCGAGCCCTCAGTCTCTTGGTTTCCGGTCTATAGAATGTGTAACGAAACCGTAACGTGATCAAAATAACCCATTTTTTCAGAGGTTTTCGACGGGTTTTGATGTCCTAACGACAAACACATCTCCTCTGGACCCTGTGTATTTGTGCCGTTTTCGTGGCCATATTGAGTTTGTAATGTGATACCGTATCATCGCCACGCTATAACGTAATGCGCACGCTCGAATGTATTGCCACGAGGTCAACTGCTTCTCTAAAGTAAAGTGTTACGAGGATCTAGGCTGCTTCTCTTGATTTCCGCTGCTTCCTTTTTTCTTTAGATAAGTTGTCGTGTACAATGTTGTTTAAAGGATTCGAGGCAACTTTTTGTCAAAGCCTCAGAACGTTGTGCATCATTACCAGGACGCGTAGAAACGACATCTTTGCAGTTCCTTGGAAGGAACTTGTCTCCGTCTGTTCACCGCATTTCGTCGCCGTACAAATGATTGAGCTGTCGCTGTTGTCATATTTACAGCAGTAAGTCGACTTTTCATTGTCTCCAACTAAATGAATCGAGTCATCGTTCTTGTATGAAATTGTGCGTGACCCATTGTGCTCTTCGACCGCCTGTCACACAGGTTCAGCAAAACCTCACACTGTTCGTAAGTCCGTATCACATTAATTTGTTAGGAAATAATGTCACATTTGACAGTAAAACGAAAAAGTTCGAACGCACTTCCTAATCTGAGATTACTACTAGCATGTAGATTTAGCCAGGGCTAAAAGCGTCGCTCCAGTTATTGAATTTGTAATTGAAATAAAGAAAAAAAAATTGTAATCCACAAATCAGTTAACTTCAGGGGAACAATGAATGAACAACTTTATTAACGTGTCAATAAATAGCAATCACCTTGGACCACAGAAGATTAGGCGTGGAAAACAAATTCTCCCCAAGCAAATGACCTATTTGCCCACCTACATCACCTTTATATTATAAGGTTAATTGGACAGTCCCGAAATATAATTTTATACACGATAATCAACGCATATATTCTTAAAAAAGGACAAGCCCTGCAACTTTGGACAAGAATAAGAAAATACCGATACTTGTGTTTAGATGTTGGTATTACAAAAACAAACGGAAAAAGTCTGGGGAAATCGTTTGAGGAAATGAATGAAATGTTTATTTTCAAACTTTTTTGTAGTTAAATTAAGTATTTGCGTTGTTACTTTGTCTTCTTTGTACTCGAAAGTGCGGTTTTCACTTGTAGCACCCGGCGTATCATTCAGATCATTGACGGGAGCTTTCAAAGCTTTAGTTGGCAACAAAATGCCAAAGTATGAAAGAGCAATACTAGTTCTACGTCTGTTTACTTGAAAAGAATAAGTTGAATGACTCTATAAGAATAAACCTTTTTTAGATCTTGCAGTGCGTTTTTGTTTCAACTACAAACGGACAAGTTCGAGTGTACAATATTTCGCGTCTGTGACACGCTAAAAAATCCGGATTAACTAACCAGCTATAAAATATACAATTAATAAGTAAGAGGACTACATGCTTGTCCAGTTTGGAAATAATTGAATTAAAAAAATTCCTCTGACGGCAAAATTGGACTTGGCCTACGGCCTCGTCCAGTTTTGGCTGTCCTCGGAATTTTTTTCATCCGATTATTTCCAAATTGGACAGCACCTAGTCCTATTACGTAGACTAAACTCCATATTCGTTTGATACATGCGGCATTTTGAGTACTCCTTCATGCGATGTTCAAGTACGACTGAAAACCATAATCGGAAAAGCGATAAGAAAGAGATCTTGACGAACAATCAAGACAAGAAAATTATATCATTCAGTGAAACATTTAAAAGGACAACAATGTTTATTCACGAAGTCTGACGAAGACATGCATTGAGAGTGAAGTTTCTCTGAAAATCCTGAGTCATGAATAAAACCTTGCAGATTTTCGCCGTGTTTGCTGTTTTTCAAGATGAACTCGAGGCAAGAATAACGCTCAAAGCTTCTGTTCACAACCAACGGGTCGAAATATTCTAAACATTCTTCAGAAGGTTTCCTTTCTAGTCGCGGTCAGAAAATGGCTAAGCTTGTCTAAAGATTAGCTCAAGTTGTTGTCTAAAATCTTACAAATGTGCGTAAAGTGATGGCATAAACAATGCTCGACTTCATATCATGAAACCCGAAAAAAAAAACATCAAATGCAATATTAATACTCAAGCTTACCGGTCGAGGTGCAGCCCATGAAAGCCATCTATTAACACCAGAATCGCTAAAGATTTTTAAACCCTCTTACGCTTCTAGCAAAGTGAAGTACTAAGAGTAGCTAAGTTTTGAAAACGGTGATTTTCGATGGGAAGCTTACTTTTTGTCAAGTGGCGCATTTCTTAACGACAAAAAAAAACACTAAATACGCCAGCCAAGAATAACAAACGAATCTTGATAGCAGCTGTATTTGATTTTGTAGGTCCAGTGAAAAAAAACGGTTAAAACATAATAATATGACACAAAACTCTGTCGGCTTCAGCTATCAGTCAACAAGTCTTCAAATGCAGCATAGACAATTCACTTTGGTGATCCTCTTTGCTAGCTCTTCGCCTTATAATTCTCGCTCTCTGCCTTTCCCTTCTTTCTCTCTCCTGTCGCTATTCACTTATAAGCAAATAGGTTTAATTCAATCCGCTACTGTTTGTCGCCATAACAATTTTTTCGAAACAGTTTACTAGGCAGCACTACGGTCACAAAATCCTCATGCTATGAAACAGTTCCTAAAGTAAACAAGTTTTTGAACACGACGACAATGGCAACACCATTTCTTGCGCGATTTCCCACCAAAAAACGTAGGTTTCACAAATGCATCGCACGATTTCCCGCCAAGAAAATATAACATACTCTTCACCCCGACAGGCTGACACCTGATTCCCTTCCATCACCCCCAAAGAGTGTAGGGACGGGCGGAATACGCTGACGTCACAACCAAATGTCTCGGATGGAGAGTGTACCAAATTATCTTAGCTATGGGGCTCCACTCACGCGCTCGGGGAACTCCGCTATTAAAAAATCAGAAAACTTAAGCAACTAAAACTGAATCTGCGAACGATCCCATTTCTTTTTTCAAAAGAACTCATAGACGTCTTTGTAACTAATTCAAAAGTTTGCGAGAACAAACGGAACAGAAAAAAATATGACAAATTTGTGAGCGTTTCTGTTACGACTTTGAAGAAGGAAAGAGTGGTTTTAGGTCTTAAAAACCTTTTCCTCTTTCAAAGTCAAAACCGAAAACTGTATTCAACAAAACTGTAACAAAATTCTCAAAGCTGATTGGCTATCAACTGTCCTGATTTCAGCACTAATCGGATAATGTAATAAGACTATACGCGTCATGCCTATGAAATTGGACAGTGCGCGCCATAGCACACGCGCACCATAATAAATGGCCTTTTTTTCACTGCTAGCAAAAAAACTCTCGGAAACTCTTGTGTTTTAAGTTTAAAAAAAGCCTAAAATATCAAAAATTTTGTTATAGTTATGGTTAATTGGTGACAGAACCTCGTGTCGTCCAATTCGGTCTACAATCATACGTACTCCTGATTAAACAAATCGGACTCACGCTACGCGGTCGTCCGAATTGGACTCCACTCAGTCCTATTTCCATTGTATATCAAGAGCAAAATCCCACAAGAAGACCTCAAAAGGGTTTAAACAGCAAACCACAAAACTTTATGCACATCTGTTTATTATATGTATTTTTGCTAGAAAAGAGCCCCATGCACCCTCTGAAACCCGAAATTTCACACTACCAGCTATCATTGAATACTATGCAACTCAAAGAGGATAAAAAATATAATTTACTTTAGTATATACCCACTCAGTGATCTTGCATGGTGATTCGCTATCTCGGACTATTCAACATTAGTAAAATCCAACTAGTGGTCTATTATCAAGGCTGCGTTCTGATTGGTTGAGCAACTACTTAACAATTATTCTTTGAAATCGAGGTGAATAGTGGTAAAATATTTACCGAGCCACGAAGTGGCGAGTTAAATATTCCTAAAGCCACTATTCACCGAGATTGAAAAGAATAATTGTTTTAGTATATACGCACGAAGTGATCTCAACAAAATCAGAGAGGAAACCATTCAAAAGTACGATTTGATCAGGTCAGTTAGACACGCGACAGTTAAAAAATAGATTTAGCTAGATTTTTGTAGAATAAAGTTTGTACCGTTAAGTGTTCGAATAGTGAAGCGTTTGTTGTCGCATTACTGAATTTACCTTGGCGATTTTCAAACTTAACAAAGGAATGGACTCTTCTTTTCTTCTCCTTTGATGTTTTCTGTTGACTTGCCAAGTTTATAGCCGAAAAGGTTTGTTGTGTCGTTCTTCGCATGAAGTGCCGACAAAAATGGCGATTCGGTTCGTCGAGGTGAGACGTCGTCTTCATGTAGCATTCTTTCTCGTGTTTACTTGAAACGTAGAATTTCTGCAAACATTTGCTTTCATATTTGTTTGTCATAAATAAACTTCGTTTTTGGGCCAAATTTTTCTCGTCAGGAAACGCTGAGTTCACGAAACGGCCTCTTCTAGGCGAATAAACGGGAGTTGTAAACAATCCATCGAGCACAAAACTCAACAACAGTAAATGGAAAAACGCTGTTTTGAATCCTTCGAAGTCTTTTCTTGCCTGAAAAAAAGTCAATCCTAGGATTTTGTCGACTTTTAAGAGATCTTTCTCTTAGAAAATGGGAAAAAAACCGAGCTCACACCTTATCCACTCGCTAGGAGGTGAATATTGTCGAATAGTCCGAGATAGCGAACCAATCAGATTGCTTAAATCACCAAGATCAATGAGTGTGTATATACTAATAGGCTATATGTTATAGCCCACTAGTAGCGAAAGGCGCGGGCTTTTTGGCGGCAAACAAAGATTTAAGTCTGGATTTAACTAGCTAAAAGTTTTTTAATCTCGATATTTTTGACCAACTAGTTGGATTTTACTAAAACAATTATTCCTCGAGCCCGAATGGCCTCTGGGTCAATAGCCCATGAGGCCGATGAGGCCGAAGGCCGAATGGGCTATTGACTCAGAGCTCATTCGGGCTCGAGGAATAATTGTTAAATATTCACCTCCTAGCGAGAGGATGATGTGTGAGGTCAGTGTTTTTCCCATTTTTTTAGAGAGCGATCTTTTAGAAGTGGACAAAATCCTAGAGTTGACTTTTTTAAGGCAAGAAAAGACTTGGAAGGATTCAAAACGGCATTTTTCCATTAACTGTAGCTGAGTTTTGTGCTCGATGGATTGTTTACAACTCCCGTTTATTCGCGTAGAATAAGCCGTTTCGTGAACTCAGCGTTTCGTAACAAGAAAATTTGGCCCAAAAACCGAAGTTTATTTATCACAAACAAATTTGAAAGCAAATGTTTGCAAAAACTGTACGTTTCAAGTGAAGGGAAAAAGAATTCTACAGGAAGTCGACGTCTTACCTCATTTTTGTGAGCACTATATATGTCATGCGAAGAACGACTCAACAAACCCTATTGGCTATAAACTTGGCGAGTCAACAGAAAACAACAAAGCTCTACTTTTCTTCCCAGGTAAGGAAACAATTCAAACTTTTAACGGTTTCGTTTAAACCATTACGCTGTTGTTTGCGAAGTGATAAACTTGTGAATTGCCATGTTAGAAAATTCTGCAAAGATATGTTTTTTAAACTTTCGCGTGATTTGATCCGTCGATCAAATCGCACTTTTTAATGGTTTGCTCTCTGATTTTGTTGAGATCATTTCGTGTGTATATACTAAAATATTATTCTTTTCAATCTCGGCAAATGGTCGCTTTAGGAATATTTACCTCGATTTCATAAAAAAAATTGTTAAATATACATACTTAGATATACTCAATCGTTCATACTGTAGTTTCATATTTTGTCCAGTTAGGCAGCGAAGCATTGCTTGAGTTTCGCGCCATTGTTTCCCGACTTTTATAGGTGCTTGTCGCTTGCAGCGCTCTTGCTTCGCGAGTTGTTTCGTAGTTTTTCAACTGAGTTCGGAGATTGGAATACAGGAGCTTCGTTTATTTATAAAACCTTATATACTCGAGATAATTATACTCACTGGAAAGCTGTGTCGTAAATTTTCATACAATGGTTCAGTTCCAGTCAATCAGAGGAGCGACAGATCTTTTTCACGTGTGCAAAAGATCTTTCGCCCAATCAGAATCGCGAACGATGTTTTTTCATTTGCGAGAGAAATGATACGTGCCATCAAAAGTCACAGCGGTGCGGAGTTTCGTGCCAAGTTTCCCGACCCAGTTTTGTATGAGCTTGCAGCCATGCAGCGCCCTCGTTTCGTGAGTCATTCAGCGAGGAACTTTTTCAATTGTTCATTTAATGTTCCATAAAGGCTAGTTTTTCTCGAAGAAACGTGAGCAACAGTCTGGAAATTGGAAGGGAATAGCTTTGTGTATTTCATTCTCACTGACGAAAATTGCTGAGAGCTCGCAAAACAAAGGGAAAAAAAACAAGAAAGCTTGACAATTGTAGATTCAGAACAATAAGTTAATATTACTTGTATTTTTTAACTATTAGTTCTTAAAAGGCGACACCGTTAGTTTTATGTCACTTTACGATGTGTAGCCTGCAAGCCAACGGTAGAAAGAGAAAAAACAGAACGAGATAACATAAGCGTAAGTTTAATTTCAGATTGCACTTGAGATAGCTGCTATTTTCCTTCTGATTTCAAAATAGCCTTTTCAGTCGATCAAATTGCCAATGATTTTGTATTCAAGCGAATTTTGTATTGAACTCTACAACTATACAATTTCCGATTAATTTATATGTTCTTACCCACGTTACAATTTTTACTAGTAGTTGTACGTGTCAAAAGATAATGTTCAGTTGTTTTGTTTGTCGTTTCACAATGTATAGAAGCCATTTCAAAATGGCACTTGATTATTTTGGAAAAAATTGAAATCAAAGACCGCTAGAATGAATAATGTCTCAGCATGTATATAAAAAATAAGCATATAACCTCAGGGAAAGTGTTTTGTACGGTATTTACGCACTCGTTGTCTCGTTTTTGTTTACCATGGATTTCTGATAGGACAACAGCCTGTGCGTAAATTAAATACCGTAAGCGAGGACATTCTGTGAAGTATTCTGTATATACTGACGTCCCATAAATGTAGTTGTTTGAAACTGTACTGTAAGCAACCTTAAACAAACGTTCTTTCCTTATGCACCAGGTGAGGCACGTGATCATGATGCAGAAGAGCTGAAAGACGAAACCCCCGCAGCAGGTATGTTTGCTCGAGGTCTACAAAACCGGGTTAGCTTTAGCCTGCACGTATAAAAGTTTAGACACCTTTCAGCTTAGTTTTAAAAAGATAGAAAATAGTGTGACAATTACCCCTTTAACATCTAGCACGCAGGTTGGGGTATAATGAAAAAGACAAAGTCAGACGTCTTGTTTCCCTCCAGTGACCCCAACATCTGAACTAAACAAAAGGTGTTAAACACAGCCAGCATTATACTCATGCATGGAGGTCTGTGAAAGGAGTCCTGAATCACTTCCTGGGGGAACCAGGTCCCATGAATGTGACAATAACCTGACAAAGAATTGATTTTTTTTTCCTTGAAGCTTCCTGCATCACTGATCTCGGGTCAAAAAATTGGTTGCATGATCAATAAATGACAATTGTGCACCGCAAAACTAGCTGACAGTGCAAAATATGCTTACAGTGATAGTTTTCGGAAAATACTTTAAAATTATGCTTGTAATGACTTATTATGTCAAAAATTATGTCAGCACAATCTATCAAACCCTAATAAGTGTACCAAAGAGTGGCACAGAACCTTTCTCATATGTGATGCTTCGTGCTCACATTCGATCGAGATCGGCGCGGCGACGCTTCGTTGCAAAAGTCATGCGGAAGCCCGGGGGGGGGGGGGGCTCGGAGATTTTTTTTGGGGGGGTGTGTCCCCCCGGGGCCCCCAATTGGGCCCCCCTTTTGAAAAAAATTCCCCCCTAAACTTTACCCCCCTTTCTAAACAGGGCCCCTTTTTTTTTACCCCTCTTTCATTGTCGCCCAACCACACACCCCCATTCCTAACACTGGCCCCTTTTTCTATTTTCTTGATAAATTTAAAATGCCGCTCTCAAAAATAGAGGCTTTCGGCGGTCTAAAAATTATTACCCCTTCTCAAAAAACCCCCCGGAAAGGGTTACCCCTTTCAAAACAGGGGGTTTAAAAACCCCCCCCCCTTTGGGGGGCCCATCCCCGGAAGGGAAAGGAAAGGGGGGCCCCCCCCCCCCCCCCCGCGGGTGCGGAAGTCACCGTCAAGCTAGCTCAATTGGATAAGAGCCTGTCTGCTGAGCGGGAGGCCGCTCGTTCAAACCTCGGCCGGACCAACACTCAGGGTCTTTAAGTAACTGAGGAGAAAGTGCTGCCTTTGTAATGGTTAGACAGTCTTCTCGGATAAGGACGATAAATCGTTAGCCTCGTCTCCCAAGCCTTGCACATGTAATGAAACGCTGTAGGACGTTAAAGAACCCAAACACTCTTCGTAATGATTAGGGGGACATAGTCCCCCGTGGTGGTCTATCTCAAATTCACACTCGCATAGGGGGCATTATTACTCATCCCTTCATTACTTGTAAACAGCCCCATAAGCAGTCTCGCAAAGACCCCCAACCAGTTTTGTTATTATCTCTCAATTTACAGTTACAATTAAAATTACAATTACTTATGTTTGCCAGAAGCCCTATCCGGTTTAACTATCAGGTACGGTTTTCGTGACGGCGCATGCGCTATTCGGTTTCCGGTGAAGCTGACAACGGCGACGTGCATGAAAACGCCTTTAGAAAACAGATTTTGCATCCTTTCAAACGGTTTTGCGATTGTCTAAAGTTGCTCAGATACTTAAAAGAAGGGAATATATGTTGGCTGTGAAGAAAGGGGGACGCGTCAGAATTCGAGAAGGGTTGGCCTTGTCGTTCCCCGTCTCAAGTAAAATTAAGTTTTGGCCATTTCACGTCGTAGTTGTGCAGGGAAGGCAAAGAAATTGGTGATGCACGTGCAGAGTTGTTGTTTTGCTCATTAGATCTATTGCTGCTTTGACGTTCCCGTTGCCGTTGCCGTCGTATTTTTGTAACTCCAGGCGTAACTGGTCCCTGATCACGGTTCAGAGATCTTCGGCCTACTAACAGAGATCTATAGGCGTCAGTTGCAGGTCGTCGTTTTATTTGCAAACCATAATACCGACTCGTTTATTGTTATTTTTACTTTTAGGGGTGGAAGTTGATCTAAGGAAGTTTATAGAACAATCAAAGAATCCCAAAGGAAAAAGGTGGAATGTCGACGATATTGTAAATATGGTCACCGCTGAGAACTTGTGCTCCTGCCGAGACCCCATAAACATGGCTTTTCAGGTATATAACCATATATATGTTGTTTTTCAGTAGTGTCTCATGAAGAGAGCTCACATACTGACAGCCTCGACGCGCACAGTTTATTCTATAAAGTTTTGTTTTACAGGATCGCTTTGGAGGAGGAAGGCTAGAACGGTCATTTTGAGAAACTACTTGTGAATGTCAATAAACACAGCATCGTGTCAAGCAAACATGTCTCCCAAGCATTATATCAAACGTGGATCAATGTAGGTTTCTGGGAAAATGCCCACTTACTCCTCCCCTAAGCCGACATTAACACTTACTTCTCGTTTTAAGCAAATGCAAAGAACTCTGTATGACTAAAAGAGGTGTTACACCTGACTTCCCTCCTCAATGTGGCATAGAAAAGATTGACAGTTTCACTTTATTAGGTGTCACATTACAAACCGACTGTAAGTTTTCATCTCATGTTAAGGGAAAGCCTCGGGACGCAAACAAGTGTTTGTACATTTTAAGATCACTAAGAAAAGATGGATACACGCAGATAGAGATAGATCATCTCTTTAAGGCTATTGTTCAGCCAAAGATCACATACGCACTTCCGGCATATGGAGCCAGCCAGGTAGATTTAAACACCATACAATACTTTTTAAAAAGGTGCAATAAGCGACGTTACACTTATGACTTTTTAGAGAAGTTTGATCGCAGGTTGTTCACCAAAGTTAAGAACAATGTTAACCATCCATTATATGCCCTTTTGCCGAAAGTCAAAGACTCATCCAAGAAGTTAAGATCACAAACAAGTCAATTACCACGGATTAATACAGAACATTTTAAGAATTGCTATTTTAATAGAATAAGGTTTCAATACAACTTGGCAATTTAACAAAATTGATATCCAATGTTTTATTTAGGTTTTATATAATAATTGTAAATGATCTGTGTGATTTTCATGATTTGTATACTTTTACTCTCTGTAACGTTTGTTATGTATTTTAACGGGCGAAATGAAGACATTTATTATTATTATTATTATTATTATTATTATTATTATTATTATTATTACTACTACTACTATTGGGGCAAATTGTTGGCTTAGGGGGGAGGGGTAGGTGGGCAGTTTCCCAGAAACCTAAGTTGATCCTAAAACGTTAGAAACAACAACAACCGTCTTTGAAAAAAGTCAGTTTCAAAAACCACAATTGCAATCCGTTTTAATCTTCTTCGAGTTTGTCCGTCCTTGCCTCTTTTGGTATTATTTTACAGTGTTATTTATACCTTTTTTCTTTCATGTTTTGACCGATTAATTTTAAGCTTCACTCAGTTTGTGGGTGTTCCTATGCACTGTTTGAATTTTGAAAATTTTCGTGAGACAGCTGCTTTGTTACCTTTGATACCCAATTTCCATGGTCAAGCGATGGTGGTATTGACGGGTTCCACTGTAAACTAATGTATGATCTTGAACGATAATCTCCTTTTGGAAGGTAAACTGCGCACTACAACGCTCTGCTATGAAATACTCGGAGAACACAGTCTTACTCAACAAGCTTGCAGAGCAGACTGAAAACTTTGCAGTGCAATTAATCGATCAAGTCTCTGTCAGCGAGGAACTGGTTATTCGCAATAAACCTGACGAATCACATCGTTACGCTTCTCTGCTGAGTCCCATGACTGATGATGCGATCAAATACTCCCAAAAGAAGGTAAGGGTTTGACCTCAATCATCCAGATGGATAGCCACAGCCTTTCTTCCTATCATCCCTTGCGCGCTTTCTTCTCTATTTCCAGGCTCCTTGCGAAACATAGAACATAGAAGCCTCTCGGAGGAGAGATTCCTCATAGATCCAATGTAAAAATGGCCACGGTAGTTTCATATTCTTTTAGTTTTGCTAGCCTCCTTATGTACAAATTCGAAAAAAAAAAACCTTACTCAAGCGAGGCTATTCAGGCTAATCTTAACCTAAACAAAAGGATATTAATCCCACAGTCATTTTTTTATTGGGTCCATGCTGATCTACAGTTTAAATAGCTGTATCATGTTATTTTGAAGCCCCTTGCAAACGGACGCAACATTCTTGGTCAACGACTCCCAAAATTGTTGGATCTCAGGTGACTGTTGCGTCCGTTAGCACGCTCTGTTTCATGTTATTGCAACAAGGTGGGAGTTGTTGCATCCGTTTGCACACTAATGCCAACACGGACGCAACAACTCTCAACATTCTAGGGACAACGATGTTGGGAGTTGTTGCGTCCTTTTGCACGTAGCTTGAGTCACCTCCACACCGTTGGGTTCTGGTTGAATAAGACACCTTTTTTTCAAGACGCTGAATAGTAAAATTGTTGACCCTGAAAGCCATACCAGCCCTGTTTAACGGCAAATATCATTTTAGGCGAAATAAGGATATGCCCCTCCCTCCTCCGTTCATGCTTTTAGGTTAATCGATGTAAAAGCCCTTATCTTTCCCTGAGGAGCGTTAAATCAATTTCTGTTTCTTTTTAAAATCGATTTACAGTTTGTATCGCACCCATTATTGTACAAAAGGCTCGAAATGAGATGGAAACATGGATTGCCAGAAGTTTTGAAGCTTTACTCTGTGCTCCTGTGGTTGGTGGTCCTTATAGACACGGCTTTGACTCCATTTGTTCTTCCACTTGTAATCTTTGCCTTCTATAGGGACCAAAAGGAGGTAGAATGATATTTTCCCTTTACTACTATTATTGCCTAGGCGTTTTTGCGTTTTAGCTACTCTAATACCCACGTTTGTATTCAGTGCCATGAAAAATTCAGCTTCACGCAAGTCATGATGATTCCTAATTTGTGATTAGTAGATTCGGTGGGCAATTCAGAGATGGTAGGGGCATTCTAGCCATACAGGCTACAGTTTCCCAAAGGTTTTCCCTAGTAATCATATTTGACATTATTTATCTGGGGAAAGTGAGTCACACCAAAATTTAATTCACTCCAGGTTTAGGGCCAACTCTCGTCAAGCTTTCATCATCTCTATGGTCAAATGGTAGTTGTAATACGATAAGTATATTCTGTCTTGTTACAGTGTCGAAGACGTTTAGCAAAGGCCAAGTTACAGAGGCAGAAACAATCCGCACCCAGTTTATGTAGCAAAGCGTCGATAACAAAGGAGAACAGTGAGAACAATGGGCGCAAGGAGAGGGCTGTGAATTCTGATACAGCTCCTGCTATACCTTTAAAAACCCGTATTACCAAATCACTGGCTCATTTCTCAGGTATAAGATTCGGCGATTATTACAATGATTTTTGTTTCTTGATAGACCCGGTGTAAATTTTATCCTTTTGTAAGAAGCTTTAAGTCTTCTTGTACTTGCTCTAAATTTAATCTTTTTTTTTCTCAGACCGGTACTATGCTTACTGTACGTCACCTTGCGTCACGTTTTTAAAGGAAAAGCTTGGCCAGTGGGCGTTCATTGTCCTTCACTGCCGTGTTTGCGTTTCCCCATCTACCGTTACACCTATGGTAGATGAATACTTGATTTTTGTCTTCTTTTGTGGCATGGCACTCAACGAATATCAACAATACAAAAAATCTCCCCGGAAGTACTTCAAGTAAGATAAATTGTATTGTCAGTGTTCTAGATAACAATAACCTTTCACCCATATGGGAAAGCATCATCATACTTGCGTGATCAATTCATAAAAACAATTAAACTAACTGTACTTGCACGAGGCATTTCTAGGACTAACCAAACAAAGTAAAAGAGGTATAATCAAAAAGCAAAAACCACGGTCAACAAGACCCGGCATGATTAGAGTTAATAACTAGAAGATGATACAGAGAGCTTTGGCTCGTTCTTTTTTTAGGCTTAATTTCTGCCGTCGTCACTAGGGTCCGGTCTTGTTTCTCGATTTCCACGCCGCTCTTCCGAGAAGGATCGTGGACTCTTTTATCGAACAGTGGCTTGTAATAGAGGCTACTACCCTTTTTGGGGCTTATCAGTGTATCGCTGGTACGAACATAACCAATGAGAGTGAGTGAAATCACCTTAAGTCATGGATGTTGTTACTTTGATCCATTTCGGGAAGAGCCATATCCTTGAATTCTTAGTCATCCCACGTACTACGTTCTTGTGGCCTAAAAAAGTTATATAATGTAAACTATTAAACAATGCCGAATACTGTTGTACAAGGAACGGGGGATGACCAATACCAATTGCTTTTCTTACGATCAACGTGTTTCTTTCTCTTTGCCTTTTTCCATAAACAGTTTTCTCATTCTTCTTATTAAATATCAGTACTAGTCTATCTGGGTAAAGAATGCCAAGAGCGTCGATAAAATGGCCTTTTTGTTTGTTACATATTCGTCCCTGTTGTTGCATTTCACATCATAGGGCAGAGGCTTTATCGACCAGTTCACAGAGAGATGCATGTGTACTGTCCTCTTTTCTTGCTTTGTCTTGGCAGGGACATGTGGAACTATTTGGACGTTATAGTTGAAATCATTTACATCTTCATAGTTATCCTTCGAATCACGACTATTGCCCGTGGTGGAATTCCGTACAACAACCGTTTGTTGGAGATTAGCAACTACCTTTACGGTATTAACACTTTATTGATGGTTCTTCGTGTTTCCAGCATTCTTGAACTGAGTCCAACAATAGGTCCACTCCAATTGGCTTTATACCGCATGTGTGGAGATTTGCTGATTATTCTCAGCCAGTATTGTTTCGTCATCTTGGGATTCTCTATGGCTATAACAAAGAGCTACAAAGCAGAGCTGTCCTATTTAACTCCACCCAGTTATTCTGGAGAATCCGTGGGAAAATCTATGGAGTGAGTTTGTTTTTGGTCTTAACACCGTTATCATTATACTCTAAACAAAGATTTTCTTCTATTACTAGGAAGCAACCCCCGGGATACTGAGCGGTACCAGTATCTTGTGGCAACCAAGTCTTAGCTAGTACAACCAGTATCATGTGTAGAACCGAGTTAAGTGAAATTACCTTGTTGTCGTCTTGTCGTATATCCAATTTCAGTCACTATCGATTTATTTTTTTTAGTTTTAGAAAGGCAGCTACTCTGCTCATGTGGTCTGTATTTGAACAAACGGATTTGAAGGAATGGCGATCCAGCTCCCTTGAGACATCTGATTATGTGTCAGCCCTGTTTCTCATTTATCTAGTTTTTTCCGTCATCATGTTGGTGAATATGCTGATCGCTTTGCTGACAAAAACGTACGACAATATCACGGTGAGCCGATAATAACTTAGTTCTTTTAAACTGAAGTATATTATTCAGGTACTTACTGTCAAACTAATAAGAATATGAATACTTGAAATATTTTGGGAATATTTATTGTGTTATGGCCAATCACAGCGAAGATCAGGACATGCGTACAAGCCACAAAACCAGCCCTTTGCCGTATTGCCATCCCCGCATTCAGTTTTCTTTTAATCTCCGCAAGCTAATTAGTTTAGTTTAGCTTTCAAAGGCCTGATTGACTGTTCGGCCTTTAACAACACAATAAAACTCCAGAGATTTTTCTGGTGTTTACGGTTTTGCGAGTTTCACACTAAGCTGTCAGACGGAATCTGTTAAATTATCAGCGCAAGCTGTATTAACAGCAAATTTTTTTAAAACATTGCTCAAAGAAGTCATCAATCAAAATTTACTTGACTTAGGCAATGCGTGAGGTCTTTACCCATACGAAGTATTAATATAATTAATATGATTCACTTAGATCCGTCTGTTGTTCCCGTCGTGCGCGAATGCGCGCGAAGGACCCGAACATCCGTAACGAGCTCTCAATCTTTTGTGCCTAAAAAATGCAGGACTTCTACCTTTCAGAAATGTTTTTGCATTAGGACCACTAGAATCTGGAACCTGCTTATTACTAGACTTGACCTAGACAATGTTACTATTGAGAACTTTAAATCCGTCCTTTACGGTTATTACTCGCGGGCTCTAGCAATAAACTATGACCCGGACTCTCCAAGGAGCTTCAAAACCATTTGCTTGAAGTGTAACACAGCCAGGTTCTTAGACCACGAAATTAGCTGCTGCATGTGATTTCAGTTGCTACTTTTATATTTTTTATCTTGGGTCCGCAGTAATTGGCTTTAGCTGTTGCGGTGTCCCTGTCCAAATTATTTAAGTTATTATTAGTGTATTGTTACGTTTTTATTACTAGTATTTGCATATCTTCAGCTTTTTTGTATTCATCATGGCAAAGCTAATAAAATATAATAAAATTCAATAAAGTGGCCGTACTGTAACAGATTTCTCAAAATTCGCGACCAGCTGGTATCTGACCCTCCTAACTTCTCTCAACACCACCCGATAGCCTTTTTCTCACCCTGCCTCGCAACTGTACTCCTGTTTAGTGTATATGATTCTAGTGTTCTCTAGTCTCGAACAGTGATGTCCTTGGTGGTTTAGTTTGTGATAGCACACATATCAAGATTAAAAGAATTCAACGTGGAAGACTGAATCCAAAAGTGCGCACAGAAAATCATTTGTCAGAGATCAAATCACCTTTTGCAGTAAAGAACCTGGGAACCTGCATCCTAGGGTGGAATCTATTGCGTTTCTCTAATTTTTTTGTGCTTACCCTTACCTCCATAAAGAGGTAAAAAGCCCACACCGTGCACAAAATGTCTCGAAAACAAAGTCAACTGTGGCCCAAGATCAGAAGCTTTGTAGTTAAGCTAGTCCATACTTCTAGCACGTATATTCCAGAGGCATGGAATCATTTTTGTCACAAGGTGAGATATATACGCGAAGGATCCAGCTGGGTATCCTCAAGATCCTAGCATCACTTCTTCAAACCAAGGAAGTTGGGTTTAAGAGACTGGGGATCGATAATACCAGCTACCCAGATTTTGAGACAACTAAGACTGCTGAATTTGCTGCCTTTACTCAAGAACCTCACACACTGACAAAACAAATAGTTTGCAAACGAAAGCTCGGGTAAAGTCCTGAATTTACTCTGCAGTTTTAAGACCCTCGCACTGTTTGCTTAAAATAAAATTCTTCTCATTATTGATGCAGACGAAACGTTATTTTATTTTTGTATTATTTTTTTCTTAGAATAATAAGGAAGTTGAGTGGAAATTTTCACGCGCTGTTGTTGAAAACCAGTACAGGGGTATGCACTCTATGGCTGTGCCATTTAATCTCCTTTCGGTACCTTTACAAATGATGTATTGGCTAGGAAGAATCAAAGATGCGAGAAAACAGGTGACTTCTATGATAATCTTTCAGAATCGTTACTTTTTTCTCAGGTACGAAATTTCGTGTTCTAAAAGCCATTTACTTTTTGCACCGGTCTTTTATTGTGTGATATGATTTTCTGATTGCTATACAATGTCGCAATTGTTGGGCACCATATAATCCCCTCGATTGTTTTCTATAAGGGACCAGCAGTTATCCAATACTGTTAGGCGATGTTAAATGTTGAAGGATGATGTTGGATGAGGTTCAACACAAAACAAAATGTTTGGCCTGGAACCAGGCCTATCCAACAGTTCTGGATCATTTTAATGGAAGTGGCCATGATAAGAAACACTTGAGGAAACTCGCCAAAAACGTTGAATTGGCCATTCTGAGGTTGCGCCTGAGACTACGTGTTGCGTAGAACCACGTCATGGAACTGTTTTTGGGAACGAATTTTGACCCAGTTTCCAGCATGATATGTACAGGCGGTTCACAAAGAAAGTCAATTAACATTTTTATTTCTAACCACTAGAAACCTATAAGTGAAAGACTTATTACTCTTTTTATTCATACGATTACAGGAAGCGATTTGTCGCCAGAGGGAATACAGGAAATATTATCAGGAGTGTTTGTTTCCAGTAATAACAAAACGCTATAAAAAGAAATATGGTGGATTGTTTCCATTGTCCGGTAAGAATTTCATTTCAGTCAATCTTAATCTGCTGGCCTCTCAATGCAAACCGTCCTTCGCGGCGGAGAGCAAAGAAAAGTGGCTCACAGTAGTTAAGTTTAATTTGTTATGCAAAAGAAAGTGTACAGCTGGCCGTAATGTCTTGACGTTTCAGTTGAAGAAAAGATGGACCTGATATTGAATCGCCTCGATCAAATGAAAATCCCAGCCTTCGGCGAGAACCCTTCAGTCAGCAAGGTTAGAAACATTTAATCTTAAAAAAATAGAAGTAAAGTCAACTTCCATGTGACAGGCAGTTTGTCATTTTATTTTTTTTTAATATTATTATTTTTTTATTTTATACACGGGAAATAATCGGCTTAAAAAGTACATACTAAATAAACGTTAACTACTAAAATCTAACTGATTTACGTGATTGCCGTGTGGGAGCCTAAAGAAGAATAGTAACTTTTAAGCTTCTTTTTAAAACCCCCCAGGGAGTTACATTCCCTTAGATCCTGAGGCAGAGAATTCCACAAGGCAGCACCGCTTTACTGGGAAAAGCTGTGCCTCAGGTACTCTGTCCTAGGCTTAGGCAATTCAAGTTTGTGAACTAAGTTTCTTAGATCATAATTAGCACTAAATTTGCAAAACATTTGGTGGAGATACATTGGAGCAATATTAAGTTAAGACTTAAAAAACCAAGATGGCCTTGTGCTTTTGTCTGTTGGACATCAAGTTTTCCCACCAAGAGCCTACGGCTCTTGTTCTCAACCAAGTGCGTCAAGTGCGCCAAGTGGAGAAGAACTAACTTCATAACTCGATTTAGTTATGATCCGGGGGCACGTTTTTGAAACTTCTCAAGTTTTTCAGTTAATTGATTATTTATTGTATTTGGACAAAAGCCATAATGGGAATTATGGCTCTTGATTTGGACTCAGATTGTTTGGATTCTAGTTTACTGAATAGCTTTAAAAAAAAATCGAAAAATTGATCCGTACTGCTCGTCATCCCCAGGTCGCTTTGTGCTCTGCGTGTTCTTGATCTACGTATAAAACTAAACGAAATACTTCAAGAGTAACTCGATTGGAACGGAATTAAAAAAAGGAAATCTTACCTAAAGATTACTCCAATAATGGACCCCACTCATTCTATTGGACGCAAACAATTGAACAATTCAACAGTGTTGACTTGTGCTCTGCCTTTGAGGGAGTTTCATGAATGCTTTCTTAATTAAAGACTTGGTGACATAATGATAGAACAGTAGGAAATTATGCAATTGACTCATGTTTTGCAAAAGTACATGACTTACAAGTTCTAAGATTAAATGATAAACAACTCGTTCTCCAGCAGTACCAGCGTTAGCGTTCAGTTTCACCCGTTCGTTTCAACGCCGTTGAAATCTTCTCACCATTTTTTTCAGTCAAATCAGTTTGGACCGCCGTACTGGAAAGGAGATCGAAAAGGTGACTCCGTCGTTGTCGATTTGAGATCGAGCCACGGGGATTCGGCAGTCGACAGAGCAGAAGTCAAGAGGAAAAGTGCAATCATTAGCCAAGCAGATAGGATGGATCCCGGCTCTTGAAAAAGGAATATAATGAGTACTTATGCAATTCTTTCGGGTGCTATTCCGTGAAATATCCTACGAGTGACTTAATTGTTTTAGAAAGTAAATGAGCTTTAAGGCTCGTTTCTGATTCTGATCAAGAGGTAAATTGCCGGCTTTGTTTAGCCAAAATGCCTAAGTTAGAATCGCACGACAGTAAACTTTCCCTAAGATGGACAATAACGGACACCTTCAGGACCAGCGTCAGCAGTCCATCTTTCAAAGAGAGAGTTTAGTCACAGTAAAATGATTGAGAAATGTCAATGAAGGGACCAACACCGAGTGTCCATCCTAAAAAGGTGTCCATCAAGAGACAGTGGACTGTATTAAGTACAATTACAAATCAAGTGACTAAGATAGGGTAATAGGCTCCTGTAAGGTATGCGTGTGTGCGTGTGTTAGTTCTGCCCACAGGCAGGTCCTTCGTTATAGTTCTCGATCTAAGGCGAACCTCTTGAGCGCTACGTAAGGGCTGCCATCTTTTACTCTATCCAGCATTCCCGCTCGAGGTCTTCCAGGTGGTCTCTTTCCTATTATTCTTCCCTCAATAACTAACGGGACAAGATCACAATGCTGTAGGGTATGACCAAGCCATACTCTCTGTAGGTCTATAGTATGGGGTATATAGTGGGACAGATAATTGAATACAATAGAGACTTTTAGATTCTAAGACGAGGATGATGAACAGGCAGCCTTACTTTTACAAGAAATATTGAAATAAAATTTTATGAAATGAGGCTAATCTGATCCACAACATACTTAAGTTGAAAACAATTACATGTAGAGCTTTTTCATCAAGCCATGTGATAATAAACATATACGTTTTAAACTGAACATCGACTTGTAGTGTTTTAGAATAAATAGCTCAAATTGATAGTGCAAGGGTAGATTTTCCATGTATCCTTTATTCACCTCGAATTTCATATCTAGCTTTTAAATATTCCCTCTGAAGTAGTCTTAGCCATAATTTACTTTTGAAGTTAGTTGATTTAGGATGTTTTAGCTCCGCAAAAGGTTAGTCGTGCTTTTATTGAGATGCTTTGTTTTATGCTTTTTGTCCCTTTTTTAATAATCCTACGAAAGCCAACAGCGGCCTATTCATAGCACAAACAGCACAAAGTTAATGAGAATCCGTTTCGGTCATAAGTTTGTTTAAGGTGTTTCGATACAGTATTTCGGAGACCATACCGATATTTTTCAATCGCCTTAAAGGTGATTTTATCCTTGTCCGATCGCTATAAAATTTTCACCAGTGATTGACTTTGAATTGAAGTTTGTCAAAATGCAGTGTTAAGTAAAATCGATATCACTATGACAACAATAAACAAAAAACTCTGAAATCTATAAAAGCCGAATTTTGAGCGATGTAGACCTGCTACTGCAAATACGACACCAGGAACTTAAAGTGCGATATTTAGCAAATAACCTCCGTGAGAAATAAAAAATTCTGCAAGTTTGAATTCAAATAAAACGTAAATTTATTTCAAACCTTTCATTTTCAATAGCCGTGAGAAATTGTTTAACTGAATAAAAAAGTTCTAAATAACGTCAGGACGCTCGTTAATGTCATATTTTGCTGCTTGGAAATTTAGGTGTATTTTCAGGGCCCCCGGAGGAGTTTTTAAAGAGCGGGGGCCGGTGACCCCCTCTTTTGAAGTGGAGGCGGGGTAGGGTAGGGGCAAATTTGGCTGTTCTCTCTTCGTGGCTGTTTAGAACTGTCAGATTACTGAACCTTTCTTTAGTACTTGTTGAGCGGAGTCATGTTTATAAATTTCAAGCCGCTGAAAAGTATCTTTGTCCCGTTGAGCCTGATTGCACATGCAGGATCCACCAGTAGAAGTTTGCGTAGGTTCCTGTAACCCCTTCATTTTGCTTAGTATGTCATCGAAATACGTCAGAGACCACATCATCACCCGATATAATTCGTTTTAAGAAACTGTAGTTCGTGGAGTAGTCTTCAGATTTAATCGAGAACCGTCATCAAAAAAGACTACATAGCCTTGCCTGTTTGAAAACGCAGAAGTCTAGGACTAAGTACAGCTTTGGGAACACAGGTGTTTCGAGTCTTACTATCGTGGCATCAGACTGATGGTATCGAAACGGACCGATACTACTGAATTTAGATGCTGGAAGATTCTCATTCCAACAAAGATACTATTTATGTGAAAATGTATATTACAGTGGAACCTCTATAACGAAGTCCTTAGTCTAACGAACTATTTTTTTTGACTCCAGTAATAGTAAAATTTAAGGCAATATGAAATAGAACCTCGATTATAAGTTAAAATAACCTCGTTATAACGAATATATTTTGCCAGTCCCTTGGCCCTTCGCTATATGGAGGTTCCACTGTACTTAATTTTATTTATTTTTCAAAAAGTGGGGAAGGGGGCTGCCCCCCCCAGACCCTCCCCCCTGCCCGGGCCCTGAATTTTTGTTTCTTACGATCCTGAGAACGAAGCTGTTTTCTCACCACCTGTCTAAGTGCAACTTTTTTCTAAACTTTGACTTTTAGCGCTTTTCTGTATATCTCTAAAACGGCTCAAAAGAATTTTTTTAAAACCTCATCACATAATCTTCACGATGTATATGATTATGTCTGAAACTTTCATATAGATTGATTCACTGCAACACCTTAAAATTTCAAGACAAACTTAGCCTACCAACCGGCCAAAATCCGCGCTTTAAGGTGGCCCGAACCTATTTTTATTATATACATACTGAGAAATACTCACCAAAAAGTTGTGTTGTAAATTTTGATACGCAAATGAGTTCTAGCCAATCAGAGGAGTGAACTGTGGTTTTCACACGTGAAAAAAAATGATACGTCCAATCAGAATCGCGAACGATGTTTTTTCACATGTGAGAAAAATGATACGTCCAATTAGAAGCCACAGCGGTGTGTCAGTTTCGCGCAAAAATTCCCGTCTTTTCTTGCAGTTTGCTGAGCGCCGTTTCGCACACATTCGAGGAGAAAAGTTTTTCTCAAAGAGTTTTTTCTCGTTAAAAAAGTGAAACATTTCAGAAATGGAGTGGAATAGTTTCGTTTGTTTCACTGCCGATAAAGAAAACTGTGGATAGCCGGCGAAACAACAGCGGAAGGGGAAAAACAGAACAAGACGTAAGCTGATGTTGTACTTTTTGTCGGAGCTACTTTGTCTTCCATTAATAAGCTTAAGCTTATATTGAAACCGGCCATTTTACTTAAATTCACTCATTTTCAATTGTACATTCAGAACAAACAGTTAAGATTACTTGTAGTTCTTGGATTACCTGATATCCTTACCGTCATTTATGTTTTTAAGAAACGTTTCTACTAAAAAGCTGATACTTTGTTTTCATTGTTATTTCGTGGGCGGCAGATTTAAGCATTTTGGAAAGATTTAAAATAAAAAGGCCACCAAAATGATGAATGTCTCAGTATGTATACAATAAACACAATACCACATGTAAAGTGCTTCGTACGGTATTTACCCACTCGTTGTTTTTGTATCAGAAATCTCACTCGTTCTGTAAACACCGTACGCCAGCACTTTCCATGAAGTATTCTCTATGTATGCTCTTTGGTAAGTCTACGCACTGATGCGACCCCATTACAGTCAATCCAGTCCAGTCGTGCAAATGCGACCCCATCCAGCGGCACATCCCCATTAGCCTCTAAGGAAGTAACCCCCCCCCCCCCCCCCCCCCCCCCCCCCCCCGCGCCTCCCCCCCACTCCTTCCCCACCTTCCCCCTCCACCCCCTCCCCCCCCCCCCCCCCCTCCCTCTTCTCCCCTTCCCCCTCCATCTCCGCACCCCCACCCCCCTCCCCCCCCCCCCACCCCCTCCCGCACTCCCGCCCCACTAAGGAAGTAACCCCCCCCCCCACCCCCCCGTCCCGCTCTGGGAGTTTCCTACAATGTTTTGTCAGACTTTACGTCTGCATCATTTACCACTCCCACTCCCACTGGTTTTGAACCCTTTTCCAATCCTTCGCGGCCGCTCAAACCGAAGTCACGCAACGGGAAGCATTGCGTGACTCCGACCCGAGCCGCTGCGCGCGAAAGAGACGTCCAAGGAACGGAGAGCGAGGAAGAACAAGCTACAATGCCTTTTTTCTAAAATTTGACAGGCAGTTGCAGAACTATGTTTATGTTCACCATACAATTAAATGGATTGGTCCACATTATGTAGCGAACGTTTCTCTCCAACAATGTTCAGTATCATGATTTGGCGGTATCAAATGTACTGGATAGTTTAAAGTCAATTTTTTTCTGCGATTCCTTTACACTTTTAACTCCCTGTGTGGGCATGGAGAGTGACAGAGAGATGACCAGAACTGGACTAGCCTAGCCCTACTGTCCAACGAAAACAAAAATGTCAAACCTACGTTTGGTGTTGTGCGTGACGGTTCAGCCTGATTACACATTTTAAACATGAATATTAAGTAGAGGTTACCATGGAAGTCAAGTTCTAAAGTCACAGAGATCGAGAGAGTCGTCTTATAAGAATATAAACTTGGGTTGTTATGCTTTCTGGTAAAAATGAGACGACGGTTTAAAAGATGACAAGCTTAATCACTAGTCCAAGACAAGAGTTTTCCAAAAAGCTACCCGCTTTGCCAGTGATTGAACATCCTAGTTCGCGACGAACAGACGACAATAATGTCGACCTACAAATTCGTGGCAGTTCACGAGAAGAAAACAGTTCTGCTTTGCAGGAATCACATGGTCCTTTGCCGCCGTTGAAGAGAAGAACAAGCCAACGTGTATCACAAGGACATTCAAGGGTTCTAACTTGGCCGATTGGTGAGGCATTGTTTTCACTCTAGTTTTTATTACCTCATTAGAATCCATAAAGGCAGGCAATAAACGCTATGGCGGTGCTAAAGTTAAGTCCAGAATTAAACAATGCAAGGCGCCTGTGATGAAGAGATAAAGGTATTAAAGCTAATTATATTTAGCTGTTTCATTTCTGATCCAAGTGTTTTGATATATAGCTTCAGATTGATCAAAAATCTTTCATCCTTTAATAGGAATAATATTCATGAGCTTATTATATTTATTGAACTTGGAAGGGTCGTGGGCAGTTTCTTTGTTCTTTTTGACATATCACTGGATTTTATTCCATGGTAAATATATCTCAAGCAAGTGTGTTCACACGCACTACACCAAATCCCATGGTAAAAGAGTGATTTACCATTAGCTGTAAATCTGTCCCATGTAACCGCACCTATAATGTCTGTGATATCTTTCAAGCATTAATATTATTTCATTCTACATTGTATTTTATCTGGGCATGCGGGCACATATAGGGAGTCTTTGCACCAGTGTACTTCACCACTAGGACAAATCAAAATTACTTGTTGTTGTTTTTGTGAAGCATGTCAGCTCTTGGTTTACATTATATATTATCCCTTATGGTACTTGGATAGTATTGTGTATTTTTATGGATCAGTATCTCTAGAATTTGTGAAACACTTGGTTGAGAAAAAAAATAATTTAAATTTAAATCATTGGGTTCAGATCGAGTCAGTCACTCTTAAAAGCATTATAAGTATATATAATTATTTTGATAGAAATTCAAATTTTTTGCTCCCCTATTAGTGGATAGGAATAAATATATTGCACTTTGATGAGAGTGAGGTTTCTTTGCACTTACGTCATTGTTTCACATGACGTTTATACCAACTTAAAGTTATTATAAGTATTCGTAACATTTTCTTTCTAAAAGGAGGAACTGGTAAAAACAGTGGTGGTGGATCAGCATGGGAAACTCCTCTACACAAGCGTACACCAGAAGAAGTGAGTTGTAATTTGTTTTTAATTTGCTTCACTTTTCAGCCCTTCAACTTCATCCATTCAAAAATTGTCACTTTTGTTTAAACCTAACTTATTGTCCATAAAAATGCAAAGATATCCATATCCAGCCATCTTGACCTTATGGTTGGTCAATAACGCATATTATTATAATTTGTACTCACTATCTGTCTTCTCATTGGCTATTAAAGAGCCTATAGCTAATTTTGGAAATCAGCGCAACCCACAGATTAGTTAGTTATATGCTAGCTGATAACTGAGTGATCTGTAGGTTGCGCTTGCAATGCATGATTTCCAATAACCAATATCAATTCAGGTTCATTGCAACGGTGTGTCGGTCATTATTTTCTTCAACACGATGTATAATATTAAAAACAATTACTGGATTCGGTTTTTGTGATATCCCAAATAATCAAGGTCTCGGTAAGTGTTATCAGCCTCGGCCTTCGGCTTGACTGATAACACTTACCTTGACCTTGATTATTCTGGTTGTCACAAAAACCTCATCCAATGTGAATAATATTATTGTTTATTACATCTTTGGCAGGTTTCTGCTGAGAGTGAACAAAAAAAACACAGATTCTGTTTAACCCCTCTAAGTCCCAATAGTGACCAAAATCAATTTTCTCCCAACAATATCAATGCGTAATTAAAAAAAAAAGTTTATGAGAATGAATAAAATGATCACCCAAGGGAAAATGCTTTGATCTTTGAACAAATTCTCTCAACTAATTCTGTAAGGAAATGTATGGAGAACAGTTTGGAGAATTTGTATGTAGATCTATATCAGGGCTTTAAGGGTTAAGAGAGTGATCAGCTCCCATCATTTGGAGGTGTCCAATAAGGGCAGTGGTATCTTTTCATGTGTTATTGATATAGTATTGGTTTACCCTTGAATAATGGACACTGTCACTTATTACAGCTTGAAGAACTTATTCATGAAAAGCTGGTAACGAGAATCAATGGGTTACGGCAAGCTTTCCGTTCTAATGACCCCATGGGCAAGGGAAATGTATCAAGGTAAAATAATTATTTTAAAATTTAATTTATTTGAAAAATTGTACATGTATGCAGAACATTATCATTTTGTAGACCATTAGATTTAATAGCTTTGTTCATTTAAGAGCACTGTGGTGTCTACAAGTTTGACAAGGAGAAGTAATTTTTATTTCGCTGCTCCACCCTTTTAGTACCCCCAAACAGCCAACTCTTATGCCTGTAAAATAATAAAGAAAAGTGATAGCATTTCAAAGGTGGCTTTAAATTAATCAACATAGTTCATGTAAGGTACATGTACTTCACTTTGTGTAATTTGTATTTATTACTTCTATTCATGCATGTCTATTATTTTTCTCTTATCACATGCAGGGAAGCACTTGTTACAATTTTGTATCATTTATGTGGCTACCTTACAACGGAGCAAATAAATGGTCTCCTGAAAAGGTGATAAACTTTGTGTATGTATTGTTTTAATCAAAGACAATTAATTTTACAGTCTTTTGTAACTTACACATATGAGGGCTTGACAATAAATACATTGTATGTACTAGTGTAGTGGTCTGCACAGTAAATCAACTTAAGTTCATTCTTCCATTGTACATGTTGATCTATGGCTTAACAGTTACTATTGACTTGTACAAAACTTGTTAGCCCACTGATGAAAACATTGTTGACAGTGAGACAGAAGGGGAGGCTTGCTTTTTCCTTTATGATGTAGATACGTAGGGGAGTAGGGGAAATTTTGAAGGCTTGATTTTTCCTTTATGAAGTAGATGCATGTTTAGAGGGGGAGTAGGGGAAGGGAAGGCTTGCTTTTTCCTTTATGAAGTAGATACATGTTTAGGGATTGTAGCTGAAGGGAAGGCTTGCTTTTTGTTTGATGAAGTAGATAGAAGTTTGAGGGAGGGGGGTTAGTTGGGGAGGGGAAGGCTTTCTATTTCCTTTATGAATTACATGTAGATACATATTTTGGGGGGAGTAGGGAATGGGAAGGCTTGCTTTTTCCTTTTTTAAGTGGATGAATTTAACGAAAGACTTGGTTTTTCCTTTATGAAGGAGTTCCCTTAGTGTCAGCAAGAATAACGTGGGACACTATAATGCTTAGTTTCTCACCTTTCTGACCCTATACCTTCCTTCAGTCATGCATTGTACCAGAAAGGGGGGTACTCAACAAAGTCTTAAATAGGGAGGCTCTGCCCCAAGGTCCAAACTCCTTACCCTTTTATATACATGAGCCATTTTTGACAGAAGGTATTCCTTTCCTATACCTTAATTCTTTTGACTAAAGTAGTACCCCTTTTGCATACCTAGTTTAGGATGTAATTGCTGTAAATTCACTGTCCTCTATAATAATATGAATAATATAATAATCAGAAAGTTTTATTGACTTTTTCCCAACCATAAAGTGCATCTGTTGGCATTTTAGGCCTCTTTACAGATCGAAATGACAGATTTTCCTATCCTTTCATATACTTCAAAAATCCCTACCATCTCATATACCTGAAACCTGAAGTAGGTGGAACCCCTATCTGGTGGAGCCTCCCTGTATCGGCCATTTTAAAGAGTACCCAACGAGGGCATTGTACACGTTTTACTGAAATGTAATGAACTCCTTGATTTGTTTGACTGTAGGCTGGGGCTGGACACACAAAGTACAATTTCATTTGAAAGCTTTGTCAGCCATTTCCAAGACAACGAGGTGACAAAAGCTTTTCAAAGTCTTAAATCAAGTATCAGTAATTTTTTGAGATTGAGTAAACGCATCTTGCTTAAATGTGCACTAAACTTTACTTGATCATTTTTAAATGTCTGTGATACGATAATTAAAATTATCGTATAATAGAATGATTATTAAGTACCAAACAAATATGTAAAGAAAGGAAATAGTAAGGCTATTGCCCCCCAATTTGTGGACTTCTGCTTACATAGACTGGTACAGCTGTAGCAACAGTCTTAACTGAATTACGTAAAATAGTATTCAGATACGTACGTATTCGGTTAAACGCTTCGGTGTTTATTAGATTTTTAGCGTTTCCGATGCATTTGTAAATGTTATTTAAAAGACAAAGGTGTTAAAAGTTCTAATGTCTCGTGTCGATTGTCTGATTGGTGAAGATTACAAAGTTGTACCGCGAATTTTTTCGTATCACCGTGGAAGAAACGCCGCATTCTTATAATTGGTTGAGGTGTTCATTCGAGAGCGACCTTTTTTGGTAATTTATCTTCCATCTGCGGCGTTTATTTGAAAGGCAAATTTTAATTCATTAAATACTATAAATGATAATGTTCTATTTCTTTTCATCGTGTTTGACAGTCTCTGACCAAGGCATGGGTGGATCCTGTGGTTAGACCAACTGTTTATGCCGACAACTTCTCCAACCTGCCAGCTAACAGGCTACGACAAAAGCAGAGAGAACTTGCACTGGAACAGAGGCATGCGGCTTTGAAAAAAGGGAGAAAGAACACACCACCTAAATTTTACTCAGCACTGGAAGCCTTTCCTCAACTGAAACTAAGAGCCCAACAAGGGTGAGAGTAAAAACCGTTTGAGTTTTTAGACGAAAGGTTTCACTCAGTGTCTTATAACCAACATCATACACAGTGGTTACACTGTAGCCATTTTGGTTAGATTAAGTGGTTTTTCTTTTATAAAGGTGCAAACAATAAGAACAGAAAATGCTAGGTATGGAATTCAGTATGGAATTTCTGCATTTGTTTCTCTGACGTCATTTCGCCAAGAAACCAGTGGTGGCGTCGAGAAATGTCGGCTGTTTGCTTAGGTTAGTTATAAGGAGGAAATAACTAATAGAAAATTAATTTGCACTGAAATGCTGTATCGTGTTCATTGCTGGTTTATACAATATTGCAACTTGAAGATTAGAATGTCTTAAATGTGCATTTACATGTACCACAGAGCAACTCTTAAGGTGATGTATTTGACGTATTTCTTTTACAGGAAACTCTCCTATAAGAAAAGCTTTCCACCATCTTGTTTTGACGTTGATGGAATGGTACTGAAGCCCCAGCTAAGGACTGCCTTGCAAGTGTTAGGATTCCAGATGTACGAGGAAGAATTTGATAAAGTCTGGGACAGGTATTACTATACGACTACACAGTATGTCCGTTTATTAAATCTGTGCATTGCTTCTTTATATACAGCATAGTTAACGTAGTCACTTACATCGATGCTTACAGTAAATGCAAGTCCGAACCAGTTGAACTCGGGATGACTGAGAAACAAATTCAGCTAGTGGTTGGAGTGGCACTCGACCCTGGACCGCTGGATTGACGCGCCGACCACTCGACCACGCTTAGCCTGCGAGCAAGCTCTCCATTTGGGGGATATCGTGGGACACTAACACAATAGCTCGTCGAAATGACGCATTTTCCCTAACCCCTCCCCCCGGTGCAGCGTTGACGTTATGCATTCCAGTCTTGTTCAATACAATCAATGTTGCTTGGGAGAGAGGGGAACAACAGAAATAGGCTCTTACAACAATATTTTTCAAGTTTTTATAAGAAGTAAACTACGATTTAATTTAGCAAAGTGCGCCTTCTCGCCTAATTTCCTCAAGTGTTGCAGATATTTTGACCAGGGTTGTAGCCTCCTTGATCTCACGGGAGCGCCTGTGTGACTCTCAATCAATGACCTTGACCTTGTTTGAAAGCGGATAATAGCCGGTCTGTCTCATTTCGGTTACTCTGCAGTGGCACCGGTCAGCGTCATAACTGTAGTGTTCTTTAACGTAGTTACA